GAAGTAACTGAATTAATGACTCATTGACAAGTATTTCTAACCAGCTTTTCAACCCCAGGATTCCAGGGTGCCCCCATGTTACTTCTGTGTGACTTAGCCATACATATTTACACATACATTCTGTATCCATCACTCCTAAAGCCAAATTTAGTATGCATCTGTCCATTCTTTTCTTAGCTGTATCCCCCCCCCACACAAAGGCAGATTAATGTCACAGAGAGACAACTGAAGGCGTTTATTTTCTCTTGAAACTCATTTGCCATAAAACAAACCAACTACCTGATATGGAAAATGGTGGTCATGTTCTACCTTCTCTTTGTCAAAGGTAAACAAAATGACACATACTCCCTACTAGATCTGACATGCCACTCTCAGATCCTTTTTAATCACTGGATTGTGGAGGGACAGCATGATTCCTATCTTCTCATCCTTTCCCCTTCTCTCAGACTGACCTGAATAAAATGATGTGGATTTAAGTTTATTTGCTTTCCCCAATCCCAAGCTACTATTTCTTTATTTAGTAAATAAGCAAAAAACTCCCCTAACCCATCTGTCCTTCTCTCCTAGAGATGAATTTGGCCTCCTTTGCAAAAATAATTGCTAAAATTACAAACATCAAATAATTTTAAACAGCATGCCCCGAAAAATGTGAGAAGATTCTTAATATTCCAAATTCTGTAACTTGTGGCAAAGTTAGCCATATAATATGCCTTAAAATACGAACTGCAAGAAAGCAAACATTACACAACAATTCTGAGACTTTAAACAGTTTCATAAAGGCCCCAGGGGTATAGGAAATCCTAAAATGATCTCATAGTCACATGTCACTGCTTACAGGGAAATAACACTCCACATTCCAAATAGATTAAATTCCTAACCTGTTTATATGCTCTATTCTAATTATGTTCCACTCTGAGGGACTCTTTTCATTAGCTAACTAACCACTTTACAGACTAAAGTCTCAAAAAAGCACTTGTGTATGCTGCTACATGGAGGGCCAGCTCTCAGATCACTACCTACATAATAAGAATGCCAAAGCATGTTGTGGCTAGGTCTTTTGGTTTTCAGAATATTAGAAAATCATTAAAATCCTCAGGACTGTTTTTCCTTAAAGACTCCTTAGGGCACAATTTAGCATTAAGCATTTATTTAAAAACCTAACAAGATGAAGACTACATTGTTTCAGAAGTGAATAGAAAATTCTTGGCCTTTATATGTTAAGTACAAGGCATGGGCACAGATCACAGAATTCTGTTGAGCCTCAGCATCCTATGGCAGAGCCTTTACTGCACACCGAAAATAATAACTTTTATTTAAAGAGTTCGTGGGAGGCATTGTGCTAGGTGGCTGAAACATTTATTATCTCATGTCATCTTCACCATCCATTAGGTGCTTATTAGTTTTTTTTTAAGATTTTATTTATTTGACAGAGATCACAAGTAGGCAGAAAAGCAGGTAGGTGGGGGTGAGGGGAGCCCACAGAGCACAGAGCCTGATGCGGGCGGGGCTCGATTCCAGGACCCTGAGATCATGACCCGAGCTGAAGGCAAAGGCTTAACCCACTGAGTCACCCAGGCGCCCCTGCTTATTAACTCTATTTTTAAGATTTTATTTATTTATTTGACAGAGAGGTCACAAGTAGGCAGAGAGGCAGGCAGAGAGAGAGGGGGAAGCAGGCTCCCCGCTGAGCAGAGAGCCGGACGTGGGGCTCGATCCCAGGACTGACATCACGACCTGGGCCGAAGGCAAAGGCTTAACCCAGAGTCACCCAGGCGCCCCTGCTTATTAATTCTTAAGAGTTGTGATGATGCCTCCCAGAATTGCTTCTCATTCCATTGCTGTGAAAATATATGTCTAGGGGTAGGACAGGCATTGGTATGATTTTAACAGCTCACCAGGGGATTCTAATGCAAAACCACAATCCAGAATCACTGCAGCAATATCTGAACTCAAAAATAACCCGAACCAGCACAGCTGGCCCTCTCCAATACACCCTAATGCCTACAAGGGCCCCAACAGGCTTCCCTCCTGTCCGGGGATTCCACTTCCCACCGAGCTCCTGCTGGCACAATCTCCTATAGCCCTACACACTCTGACCAAAGTCTACCATTTCTCCTCTATGCTGCTACTCGCCACCTTCCCTTCCATATCATCCCCTTTCAGGAGAATATAAACGAGGTGTTAGAATGCAACTAATGAATCATTGAACGCTACGTCAAAAACTAATGATATACTGTATGTTGGCTAATCGAATTTAAATAAGAAAATAAACTGATCATCAGGTTACAGTAATTTCCACAAAAACATGAACAAGCAAAAAAAAAAAAAACACCAACTTGACATTCCTATTTCTGAAAAGTTGCTAACACCTTTTGTTTTGGCCTCAAGCAGTGTGGCTGAATAGGAGGGGTGCTTCAGAAGAAAAATTCTCTCATTTCCCTGTACAGAACTGTGTTCATTTAGACACTATTTCCTACTTTCAGGATATAAATATGGGGATATTAATGTAAGAGCAGCCAGAGAGTTCAGTTCAATTGTTCCAACAATTAATCAAAATGGCAGTATAACTCCCATCATTTGAACCTCCCTACCAAAGGTAAAAAAATTAAAATGCAAAGATTACTTCCAGCATTTTCAACAATTCACTTATTTTCAAAGTGTTCTTTAAAAAGCACTCCTCAGGGGACGCCTGGGTGGCTCAGTTGGTTAAGCAGCTGCCTTCGGCTCAGGTCATGATCCCAGCATCCTGGGATCGAGTCCCACACTGGGCTCCTTGCTCGGCGGAGAGCCTGCTTCTCCCTCTGCCTCTGCCTGCCATTCTGTCTGCCTGCGCTCGCTCTCTCTCCCTCTCGCTCTGACAAATAAATAAAATCTTTAAAAAAATAAAAAAATAAAAAGCACTCCTCAGGGGCTCCTGGGTGGCTCAGTGGATTAAGCCTCTGCCTTCAGCTCATGATCTCAGGGTCCAGGGATCGAGCCCCGCATTGGGCTTTCTGCTCAGCAAGGAACCTGCTTCTCCCTCTCTCTCTGCCTGCCTCTCTGCCTACTTGTGATCTCTGTCAAATAAATAAATAAAATCCTTAAAAAAAAAAAAAAAGAGCGCTACTCAGGGAGCTGAGGAGCTGGCTGGCTCAGTTGGGAGAGTGGGCAATTTTTTTTTTATAGATTTTATTCATTTATTTGATAGACAGAGATCACAAGTAGGCAAAGAGGCACACACAGAGAGAGAGGAAGGGAAGCAGGCTCCCTGCCGAGCAGAGAGCCCAATGTGGGGCTCAATCCCTATGACCTGAGCTGAAGGCAGAGGCTTAACCCGAGCCACCCAGGCGCCCCAGAGAGTGGGCAATTCTTGATCTTGGGGCCATGAGTTCAGGCCCCACACTGGGTAGAGATTACTAAAAAACAAAACAAAACAAAACACCCTTAAAAAAAAAAGCTCCTTAAGTTTTTGCATAGAAAATCTGTCTTTATGGTAACAAGGTAAGTGAAACGGGAACAATGAAGAATACTTAACAACCGTGGTAGTTATACACTGACCCAACTATTAATAAGCTACAACAGACATTACCAAACAGTGCCTTTTCCATGCTTTCTCCTCTGGCTTTTTAAAATTCTAACAGGTTTTCCTACTATAAAGTTTATATTCCCCCCCAATATGGCAAAAGCTCAGACATTAATCAGTAAACTCCTAATTAAACAAGAACACAATTCAAGACCCTTTATATAATAAAGTTCCCTAGCTTGAATTTCAATCCTAATTTTTAATTTTTAGGGCACCACCGAAGTCCACCATTCAACAGTACCTAGCACAACATCTCAAGAGACATGCACTTACCTGATCTAAGATTTCTTGGGTGGTAGCCTTCCCACACAGGTGCACAATACAAATTGTAAACGGAGGTTGGTAACACTATACATACAGGAAAATAAAAGTTGTTGGTTCGAGATTAACTCATATATACAGAGCGAAAGAACTATGGAATAGGGGAGCCTGGTTGGCTGTCAGAAAAGCATGCAATGCTTGATCCTGAGGTCATGAGTTCAAGCCCCACACAGGGTGTAGAGATTACTTCAATAAAGAAAACTTTAAAAACCTACAGAACACCTGCTGTCTAGGGAAGCTCGTTCACCATAAAAATGGATGTAAAAAACCAAACCAAACCAAACCAAACCATACTGCAACAGTGGTAGAGTGAACTAAGTGAATGACAAGGCATGATAGGACATGGGGACTCAATCCCAAAAGGCCACATTGGTGAATAGCAGGGGTGGAAATTCAGTTTCTTGAGAACCAATACAGAAGAACCGAATTAACAGGCACCAGACCTGTTCTCTAGTCCTAGTTTCACAATCATCTAGCTGTGTGACAAGTAACAACCCTCAGGGCCTCAGCTTCCTTATCTCTAAAACAGGGGTTAGAGTTAGGGAATCTGTCTTTCCAGCTCTAAGATTCTATTTACTAGTTCTATAGCTGTTACCCTTCCTCATACATTTGGGTTTAAAAACTGTGGTGCCCTGCATATTTAAGGCTCTAAGAGTGGATATATGTGGATAAATATTTACTGGCCTTCAACATCCTCAAGGAACAAAGACTCTATTTTGGGTCAGGGAATATTTATTCACCACAAGAGGCTAGCATGTTTAAGTGATTTATCAGCAGTTAGCAAATTCATAACTTTCTCTTAGCTGCATGTACTAACCCATTCTGCTAGGTAGTGGTTACAGAAAAGAATATTTGGGAATAAATCCACATTACGACCCAATTTTTTTTTTTTTTTTGCTAGTAAAGTTGCATATTTGGAACTGCCTAAGCTTTTTAAACAAAGAGGCTGTAACATTAGTTGCTAGTCACTTATAAACTTTGTTATTCTTTGTTTTGTATCAGTCTGTCAGGAATGCAATGTAGCTTTGTCTTCCTTGAAATGTTACTTCTAGTAGGCCTACTCATTTCATGGTTTTTTTCTAAGCTTCTCAATATTCTTCAGAATAAAGAAAACAGCTCATTTTAAACAAGAAGTTTATTTAAACAACAAGACGCTTGACTTGAAGGGAAAACTATCTAGGATTCATTTCTTTTAGAGTAATTTATCCCTACTTAAAGACAGATTGCCCTACATGTAACAGCTACGTACAAAAAAGTTATAAAATTGTCCTTGGTTTTACAATGATAAATGAAAAACATTAAAATTCTCCAATCGAACAAGGTATGCAAGGATTTTTATGTTGTTCTTTTTTTTGTTAAACAGTGAGAGCAAAATAACTTACTGGAATATAAAGATAAGAGCTGACTGAGCATGCCACTAATGGAGAGAGGGGGTATTTTCACAGAAGCAGTATTTTCCCCCATCCCATCTCCATTTGATGTCGATCAAAACATACCATTGGCCATTTAGTTAAAAAAAAAAAATGCAATATGCTTGTGCACATACACAGTTACTTTATGTACAATAAAGGAATGGGGGAGGGGAAAATGAAAGAATAGAGAAAACTATACTGTAGTAGTCAGGATGTGGTGGAACCAAATTGCGGCTTTCTAATTGAGAATGTCTTCTTGGTCTGGAGGAACAGAGTTCTGGAGTAAAGTAGCAGGTTCCCTTTTTAGTAGACACCTCCTGTCTGCTGCTGGAACACATCAATTGTATCTTCATCCTCCATTTCCAACTGGCATATGAGAGAAGAAAAACAAATGGAAGGCCACTGATTATCAACTCTTAAGATTTTTAACTCTAGGACTTAAGTACCCCCAAAACTCCACAAGTTCCACCCAAATCCAGTGTTCATTACTGTAGACATCCTACAGCTTAATGTAGCATCAGTCTTCGGTTTAAGTTAATTTTTCACTTGGTCTTCCTTATATGGAGATTATAGAAAGCTTAGGGGTTTGTTTGTTTGTTTGTTTTTGAAAGGAGGGGTGGGAGTTGTTGCCTTTTTTTTTAAGATTTTATTCATTTATTTGACAGGCAGGTATCACAAGCAGGCAGAGAGGCAGGCAGAGAGAGAGAGGAAGGGAAGCAGGCTCCCTGCTAAGCAGAGAGCCCAATGTGGGGCTCGATCCCAGGACCCTGAGATCATGACCTGAGCTGAAGGCAAAGGCTTAACCCACTGAAGGTGCCCCGAAAGCTTAGTTTTTAAGTGAAAAAGCTTGGGAGTGCCTGGGTAGCTTAGTTGCTTAAGCATCTGCCTTTGGCTCAGGTCATGATCCCAGGGTCCTGGGATGGAGCCCCACATCAGGCTCCTGCTCACCAGAGTCTGCTTCTCCCTCTTCTTCTGCCCCTCCTCCCTGCTTGTGTGTGCTCTAATAAATAAAGAAAATCTTAAAAAAATAAGAATTTTAAGTGAAAAAGCTGAATATGTCCATGAGTTAAATCGCCTCATTTTTACTTATTGAAAATAAAAACGTTATAGGGGTGCCTGGGTGGCTCAGTGGGTTAAAGCCTCTGCCTTTGGTTCAGGTCATGATCTCAGGGTCCTGGAATCTCTACTCAGCAGGGAGCCTGCTTCCCCCCCCCCGCCACCCCACCCCCACTCTCTGCCTGCCTCTCTGCCTACTTGTGATCTCTGGCTGTCAAGTAAATAAATAAAATCTTAAAAAAAAAAAAAAAAAAAAAAAGTTGTAAAAATGGTAAAATAGGGGTACCTGGGTGGCTCAGCGGGTTAAAGCCTCTGCCTTTGGCTCAGGTCATGATCCCAGGGTCCTGGGATCCAGCCCCACATCACACTCCCTGTTCATCAGAAAGACTGCTTCTCCCTCTCCCACTCCCCCGACCTGTGTTCCCTCTCTCACTGTGTCTCTGTCAAATAAATAAATAAATAAAATCTTTAAAATAAAATAAAATGTTAATGACTAAGTTTCAATTCCCTCTTTGTAAAATGAAATAGCGTTCAGTTATGAGAATTAAATGAGTCGAAGAGAGTATTTAACAATGTGGACACATAATTATATTACTATTAAAAATGGTCATTAAGATATTCTATTTTTGGGGCGCCTGGGTGGCTCAGTGGGTTAAGCCGCTGCCTTCGGCTCAGGTCACGATCTCAGGGTCCTGGGATCGAGCCCCGCATCGGGCTCTCTGCTCAGCAGGGAGTCTGCTTCCTCCTCTCTCTGCCTGCCTCTCTGCCTGCTTATGATCTCTCTGTCAAATAAATAAATAAAATCTTTAAAAAAAAAAAAAAAGATATTCTATTTTTTTTAAAGATTCTATTTATTTATTTGACACAGAGAGAGATCACAAGTAGGCAGAGGTAGGCAGAGAGAGATGGGGAAGCAGGCCCCCCTGCTGAGCAGAGAGCCCAACACCGTGCTCGATCCCAGGACCCTGAGACCATGACCCGAGCTGAAGGCAGACCCTTAACCCACTGAGCCACCCAGGCACCCCAAGATATTCTATTTTATATAATTCTATTTAATAAACATTGGGAGAATAATTCTAAAATGAATCAGTTTCATTCTACAGCAAATTCAATTCCAAATACTCAAAGGAGTTTGAGTCCACTTTCAATGTAAAATTTCATAATGCATTTCCAAACAAATCCTTCTCGCAGTTTAATATTTGCAGCCAGCAATGTAGAGACCAGAACTTGTTTTTGGTGGCAGATGAGAGCATCAATAGACAGCAAATACATTCTAAACATCCGAGTTTAGTGTAAATAGGTTTTTATTCTTTTTAAACCATCAAAACATGTCTTCAGCCTATCTACTGATACAAAACCCCAGGGATGTTACATTTTACAGTGAAACTTGAAATGCCTCAAAGGATAGAAGCGTCTTTCCTATCTCTCACTCACCAAGAGAACGCAGCTCCTCCTTGTGGCTATCTACTATAACTGCTTCTTAGAGACTCACCAGGGGAAATTACTTCAAAACATTCTCTCCTCAATTACAACCCAGACATTTCAAATTTTTTTTTGACATTTCAAATTTTTAAAACACAACCAGAATAGGCTGCTTCACTCATACCATATTTATTACTTTCTAGTTTTTATGGACTGATAAAACATTTGAAAGTAGACAGGCTTCAATTTAAACTTCTATCAAAATATTTTTTTCCCCAAACTAAGTCTTGAGTGGAATCTCAGAGAGTAAAAAGAAACAAATATGCAGAGCTTTTGCCACAAAAAACCACCCAGCTGATCCCTTGCAAAGTGACTCGTAAAGTGATTAAGGGAGGGGCACCTAGGTGCCTCAGTCATTAAGCGACTGCCTTTGGCTCAAATAAAATCTTTTAAAAAAATTAAAAAATAGATTAAGGGATCAGACAGCATCACCTTTTGCAGAAGGCTTTGGAAAGTCACCTATTATCAAAAACCCTACTGATCAAGCTAAACCATCAAGAGACTTCCAGTTAGAGCCCCCAAGGTCCCTTTAGTTCACAAGGGCTGGTGAAAGAGAAGTCAGCATGAGAAGTGAAAATGCTCAGGGTCTACAGCCAACCAATCACCTGCTGGGAACCGGGAGCATGATCAAGAGCTGTGGCGACAAAAACAGCATTCTGAAGTATTGTCTCCCAATGGTGCTGGCAATGGGAAAGATTAGACTAAATTAACTAAATGACCTGTCAGCTTTACAAAATGGTAGCTGGATATTTAAAAACCACTAACATTTCCTGATGAAATACTAATATTCATGATATTTTAGAGTTTTGCACTCTTGGTGAAAAACTCTACTCCAATGTCTAAAAGTCTACAAATAAAAACAAGGCTGCTGAGCAAATCACAAAATACACTGACTTTTCTAGTTAGCACAAAGAGATTTTTACCTGTGCAGGTGTGTCTGTTTCATTGATTGGCTGCCCATCAAATCGGAATCTGATCTGCCTCATTGACAAACCCTGCAAGAGAGTTTAAAAGCAGTTAAGAATGCAAGGAAACACTAAGAACTAAAATCATATGCATATTTAAACCTAAATAAATGATCATCAACATGTTCACATTTCTATGTGGTTTGGCATGACTTTCAAATCCTCTGAACTATGTTTGAACTTCTTAGGAAGAATGATTTTTTTTTTTTTAAGATTTTATTTATTTAATCGAGAGAGGGAACAAGCTGGGGGAGGAGCAGAAGGAGAGAGAGAAGCAGACTCCCCGTTGAGCCAGGAGGCTGAATCTCTGGCGTTCTCCCAGATTCCACGATCATGACCTAAGCTAAAGGCAGACGCATAAACAACTAAACCACCTGAGCGCCTGAAAAATGATCAAAAGGTCTTTTTTAGGGGTGCCCGGATGGCTCAGCTGGTTAAGCAGCCAAATCTTGATTTTGACTCAGGTCATGACCTATTTGAGATTCTCTCTCCCTCTCCTTTTACCTGTCCCCAACTTACTCTTTCACTCTCTCAAATAAATAAATCTTTTTTTTTTTAAAGGGTCGTTTTAAAAAAGGTGTATTACTTTGAGACCACAGCTACTCCAAGTTTGAACAGATCATAGCTTGAGTCAAACTGCATTTAAATGAGTAGAAAAATAACTGAAAATTTTTTAAAAAAGATTTTATTTATTTGACAGACAAAGATCACAAGTAGGCAGAGAGGCAGGCAGAGAGGAGGAAGCAGGCTCCCTGCTGAGCAGAGAGCCCGATGTGGGGCTCGATCCCAGGACCCTGAGATCATGACCTGAGCCGAAGGCAGAGGCTTTAACCCACTGAGCCACCCAGGCGCCCCAACATACTGAAATTTAAAGTAACATATATGCACAGCAACATTCTCCATTGCAGAAAAAGCTCTCAAAAAGGGAAAAAAAACCCACCCTTAATAATGAAAACTGGAAGCCACCTAAATGTAACAATTAAAATTTTGCCTTAGAGCTACTTAAACTTCGGATGCCTAGGTGGCTCAGGTCATGATCCTGGAGGTCCAGGATCAAGTCCCACATCAGGCTCCCTGCTCAGCAGGGAGTCTGCTTCTCCCTCTGACCCTGCCCCTTCTCATGATCTCTTTCTCAAATAAATAAAATCTTAAAAAAGAAAAGAAAAGCTACTTAACCTTCATTTCTATCCAAACAATTCCTATCACCAAGCAAGAGTAACCAAGCACAATGTTAGGCACGCCACAAGAATTCAACCCTTGGCTAAACAACATTTCCACCATTACTGTCCTAAAACCATCCATAAGCATATAAGCTTAAAAATGTGGATACCTCAAAAGAACCACCTGCTTTTTAAATTCCTTCTTAGTACCTACCCAGACCAGCAATGATTATTTGTCAACCTCTCACTGAAAAGCAAGCTCCAGGAGGGATAAGAACCGCTGACTGTCTTGGTTACATACTGCATTCCTTGCACAGAGTAGGTGCTAATGGATAGGTTACTGATGGAATAAAACGGATGAAAAGGAGTACCTACCTTACCATGCTTCGCTTTATTTAAAATAAATCAATTTAAAATAAATCTAAAGCCTACTAAGTTGAGGAGCAGCTTTATTACAAAAAGGAAATTTTAAAATTACAAGTTCAGCTTCAAGAAATTTTTGTATGTATTTGAGGAGATAAATGAGCCTAAGCATGCCCCTTCTGCAAAACAGATTCCAGTGTTTTACTAATCATTACCTACCTGACATAGGAGTGGGGAAAAGGGGAAAGGAGCAAAGCCGGCAACTGCAGCCAAATAAAGACAAGACGGGAAAATAAAGTCTCTATGGACATAAGCTGTAAACATATTGACTGGAAAAAGAGCTTTTTTTAGGAAGCAGCCTACCCAAAAAAATAAATAAATAAATCACTCCTGTATCGTCCTCATACCACAAACTGTTACTATTGTTTGTGTAACTATTGTTACACAAATCCCTGCTTCAACTAAACTGAGTTCCTAGGACTAGAATATTGAAACAAAGTGCTCAATACTTACTTGACTCCTGTATTCCTTTATTAAACATGGATTCATTAAGTCTGTCTTTAAAACTACCCCTAACATCAAGATCGTATTACCTACTTTGAACACGCTAGCCTGTGACACATACCACTTTCAGACTAGCCTTTGTCTTAAAGAATGCGATTCCCGGACCAGATAGGGGACACAACCTTAATTCATTCCTCATGACATCCAAATTTAATTTGTGATTATGCAAAGCAACCATGAATTAAATGCCAAGCCATTAACTACCAATTACACATTTGCAAACACTCCATTGAAGACCCATTGCTTTAACAAAATACGAAGCCATATGCTGGTTTCTTCCTCTATGTCCACAAGTAAGGTCCTAACATCAATGGCATGGCCGTTCAAAACAAGAAGGGAAAAAAACACAAGGCCAGAACAGGCATCATATTCCTTTATTACTACCTGTTTGCATGCTTTTCCTCATCAATAAAATGTTTTATTTTGCTACAGACCAAATGTCCAAATTCAGGAGACCTGCCTTTCAGATTCTATAAACCACGTAAATTCAATGAATTTGGAAACCAGTATTTGGGTTCCACTTCTGAGTAAATCTTATCTCTGAGCTTCAGCTTCAGAGTTGTGCCACAGAAGAGCTGTGTGAGGGTATCTCTTTGGATCCCTACTTCTTCATTTCACAAAACCAAACAGGACTAAACCAATGAATCAGTCTGGGCTCTCTAAAGCCACTTAACATTCCACAAAACCATTAGTTATAGTAAATGCACACCAGAATGGAACAGTATGCCCTCAGCCAAAGAGGGCAAACTCAATTCTACATGTGAACAGAAAATTTATTTACAACCCAACTTCTGGAGGCAGCTTGAATGTTCGCTATCACTTTATAAGCATTTACCGAACACACTCATATATACGTCAGGTACTAGTTTAAGTTCTAGAGAAACAGTGAACAAAAAGGCCCTATGCTCGTGCAGCTTACATTTTAATGGAGAGGCAAATACAGTGATCAATAGAGAAAACAAAAACAGTGAGAGGACCGAGTGATGGGAGCAGAAGCACTGTGAATTAATCAGAAAAGTCTCCAAAGATAGTAATCAACCAGGAGTGGAATAAAACGGCTAAGGGCTCAGCACTATCCAAGAGAAATCTTATTATGTGAGCTACACGTCATCTTAATTTTTCTAATTGCCACATTAAAATCAGGTTAAATTTTAATGTTTTAAATCAATATGTTAAAAATCCTTTTAACATGTAATTGACATTTGAAAAATTAAGATATTTACTTTTCCCACTATGAGTTTTCAAAATCGGGCACATATTGTACACTTTGCAGCACATATTAATTTGGACTAGCCATGTTTCAGGAGATGAGCAGTCACACATGGCTTGTTATCTACTGTTCTGAACAGCACAGGTTTAAATAGAGAACAGAATTTGTTGATGGATTTTATAGGAGTTATAAAGCATCATCAAGGATGATTCAAGGTTTTGACCTCCCAACTAGATATAACATAGTGCTATTTACTGAGTGGGGATACCGGAGAAAAAGATTTCTAGGAGCACAATCAAGAGTCTTTCAATAAATAAATAAAATCTTTTTTTTTTT